AACTCCAGATGCCCAGTGTGTCTTGAAAAGTTGGCAGATCCAGCAATCCTACAGAGCAACAAACTCTACTCCTTGAAACTAGAGTGTGGAAGCAGCACAATACCTTGAATCTGCATGCCCCCCCGGGGTTGGGGGCAGGGGAGCTGCTAGTGCTTCTAACACATCGCTGCCCTGGTAAGTATGGGCACAGTCTGGCTAAATCTCAAGTAAAAAAAAAAAAAAGAAAGAAAGAAAAATTAAAAGCCAGAAAACTCGGTTTTTAAGAGAAATCTCAATTTTTCAAATACCATGCAGGACACATAAAAGTACCCATGGGCAAGGTGGGGCCGAGAGGAACTTCCATCTCCCCCTATTAGGCTCTGATGGGTGCTGCTCCTGTAGTATTGCCAACTGCCAGCACAGGGCCTGGCACATGGCAGGAGCTCAGTACATACTGAATGAATGAGTAAATGAACACCCAGATGACACCTGGCCGGGAAAGTGGCACAGACAGAGCGTCTCCAGGAATCAGCCTGTGTGCTCCTTTTTATACCCCAGTCACGCCACAGCCCTCCTTGGCTCAGAACCCCACCCTGGCTCCCACCCCACTGTCCTCCTCACATCCCACGAGCCCTGCACAAACTGGCCTCGTCTGTCCTCTCCCCCTCATTCATTCTACCCAGCCACACTGGCTCCTTCTGTCCTTCCAACACGCCGGGCAAATTCCTATCTCAGTGGCTTTGCACTTGCTGTTTTCCTTGCCTGGGCTGGTCTTCGCCCAAGCCTTCTCAAGGCTTTGCAGGTTTTCCGCAAACGTCACCTCTTCACAGAGGCCTCCCAGACCACCCTGTGTAAATCAGCACCTGTGCCCTTCTCCATCTTGGGCCCTTTTTCCTTTCTTTCATCACAGCACATATTATTTAACATTAACTTTTTTTAAAAAAGATTTTATATATTTATTTGACAGAGAGAAAAAACGAGTAGGGGAGGGGCAGGGGAGAAGCAGACTCCCCACTGAGCAGGGAGCCCCAAGGGGGCTGGATCCTAGGACCCTGGGGTTGTGACCTGAGCCAAAGGCAGATGCTTAACTACTGAGCCACCCAGGCACCCCCACTTAACATTAACTTGTTTACCCTCTCTTCCTTCTCTTTCTCCTTCCCTTTCCTTTGTTTCTCTTCTTCCCTCTTTTTTCTTCTTTTTCTCTCTCACTTGCCTCCCTCACTAGGATGAAAGCACTAAGTTTCTGTGCTGCCCATTCGCTCCCTTCTCCCCAGGGCCCAGCATAGCAGCTGGCATGCAGTAGGTGCTCAATCCATCTCTACTGAATTAATGGCACACATTTAATACACAAATACACAAGTTCTTCTTGGAGTCCACCTTAGCCCTCTCTCTCTTCTAGACCACATTTCCAGATTCCTTCATGTTCTGTGACCAAACCCTCCTTGTTCTACAAACAAGATTCTGAGGGAGGCAGGGGTGGGGCAGAGAGGCAGCCTGTACCCTCTGACTTCTCACCAGGCCACAGGCCCCAGCCCCATCTAGCCACATTTCCAGAAGAAATTTTCCAGTTTCCTGGGGTGGATTCCTCACACCAGACACCCAGATCACCTTCTTATTTTTCTATCAGACTGAGCTCAATTTGTAGCCTCTCTGACCCACCTCTAGTGGGTGACATGGCCACAGATGCCATTCTCCAGCCCTATCTTACTGATGCCTACTCTTTGAACCTGATGTCTAGTTTCTAAACTTACAGCTGCTGGGGACTCCCAGCCAACACCTTCTAAAAGCCCCCTCCACCTCTGTAACCAGTAGCCAGAGGGAGCTTTTAAAAATAGAAATCAAAAATACAAATCAGATCCACCACTCCTCTGCTTTTAAATATCTTCCCACCAACTGCTCTCCTCTCATCACACTTATTCAAAGTTCTCACCATAGCCCCTAAGGGGCCAGGATCTAGTCAGGGCCAAACCTTCACCTTAACTCTCATCACTCCCTAACTACAGCTCCAGGATTGTCTTCTGTTCTTGCCTCAGGGCTTTTGCACATGCTGCTCACAGCCTGGAACTTTCTTTCTCCAGCTCTCTCACAGTTGATTCCTCCTCATGCTCTGGGTCTCAGCCTAAATGCCACCTCATCAGAAAGACCCCCTAGGACCACTCCGTCTCAAGGTGCTGCCCCCTAACCCCCCCCCCATTATAATGTCCATCTTTTAGTTCTTTCATAGCATTCACTCCATCTGAACTTATCTGATTTAACTATTACTTGCTCTCTCCTAAGAGTAGGGATCATGCATGCCTGGATCACTCACCATTAAACCTCTCTATCAGCCAGAGTAGTACCAATGGATAAATATGCTTGGTGAATGATTAGACACTTTCAGTTTCTCCAAAAAGCCACCTTCCCAGCTTCACAACTTCCTACCTTGGAGCCTTTACTCCTGAAGTTATCCCTCTGGGTATTCTCTTCCCCTTGCCCTTTTGCTTGTTAAACCCCAACTCATCCTTGGGTCTTCCTCAGATGTTACCTCTGCACGGAAACCATGTCCTAAAAAGCTCCTGGAGCATCCTATTCTTGGCAAACACAATTCTCATCATGTCTTGCAATTATACATTTATATTATGTTACATTGTTATCTGTGTAGGTTGTCACTGAGGCCTGTAAGTTCTCTCAGGGCAAAGACTCCGTCTGGCTCCATGCTTTGCCCCAGGCTCCTAGCATTGAACAGGTCCAAGACAGCCTTTTCAGTCAATGTTTGTTGAATGACTAAATGACTGAATGATGTGTCATGAATCAAAGGTTAGGCTTATGCTAATTCCATTCTCCAATGGGTGAATGAATAAATTAACGAAGGGGGCATCCAAGGGCCAAGACTCCCCCAGACCACTTTCAAAGTGAATCAACCCACCATCACCATCAGAGAGCTCAGTCCAACCTCCCTGGCCACCCAAGGCTCCAGACCAAATGCAGGGTGGGGAGGGTGGTTACCGTAGTCCTTGGGGAGGGGGGCAGGTGCCGAGGGGTGCACAACAGGCTTCTGCCGGCGCTCCTGGGTGGGGCTGGGGGCCTCGGGGACCAGCTCATCCTCCTCCTCCTCTTCTTCTTCCTCCCCCCGGAGTGGAGGGGCCATCGGAGCGGGATCTGTCTTAGTCATGGTCTTCAGTGGCCCTCCGGGGGGCGGGTGCAGAGTTGGGGGGCGGCTTTCGGGTAAATCCTGAAGACAGCGGTCAGTTAGAGCGCCCCATGGGGTCCAGGGTGTGAGCCCCCAGAAGCCACCCCAGCGGCTCCCACGCCCCCAGCTCCGGATTTTGGGCAATCATAGCGACGACCATTACCCCTCGGAGGACCCCGGTGTGTGGACCCAGGGCCCAGCACGTCCCCCAGGTCCAGCCCCCATTCTTCTCCTCCCCGCGTCAGGCCCCTCGGTCTAGGCCGCCCCCTCCCCGGGTTTGTTTATCTCGGGATGCAGGATGCTTCGCCCCTCCCCTTCCCCGCGGGCCTCCCCTCTGCCCACCTTACCTCGGCCGTTGGGGCTGGAGACCAAAGCTGAGCCTGGGGAGCCTGGAGTACTGGGGTGTCTGTGTTGGGGGAAGTGATGCGGGAGGAGAGGGAGACAGAAGGGGACGAGGCCCAGACGCCGACTGGGGATGGGGGTGGAGAGGGAGGGGCGCTGACAGCGCATGCGCAATGGTACCCCCAACCAGGCGCGGGGGCGGAGATACTGGGAGGCTCCTCGCTTTGATGAAAAGGCTCGAGGCAGCGTCGTGAAGGGGACAGACACGAAGGATGGAGAGAGAAAGGAGAGGTGGCCACGGAAAGGGATGTGAGGCATCAAAAGAGATGAAGCATGGACAAGGGGAAAAGGAGAGGGATGGGAAAGCGGGCGCAGTCCTTTTTTGTGCATCCCCGACATAGAGCCTTCCCGCAGGCCCAGAACCAGGCCAGCCAGGGCAGGGGTCTCTGTGGTGGCGGTGGTGTTTTCTGTCTCTCTCCGATCTCAGACCTAACCCCTTCTCCGTGCTCGCCGCCTATCAGGGTGTCTCAGAGTCGTGATTCTGTAGACTCCGTCCATCCTCTGCGGCCACCAGTCATCGTGGTTAGCATCACAGTGCTCACAGAGCACATACCAGGCTCAGAGAGGTTAAGCCACTTGGCCAAGGGCACACAGCAAATAGGGGATGGAGCTGACTTGAAACCCGACAGCCTGGCTGAGAGTCAGGGCTTTTAATCACCACGCGACATGGCGGTAGCTGTGTCTAGGGGACAGACCTGCCAATGAAAGCCTCCAACCCTATCTGAACCTGTATCTCCCCTAAGAAGACCTGGAGCCAGCCCAGGGTCCAGGCCTTCCTGGCTCCATCATCCTGGTCTGGCTGTCATGCCTGCCTGGCTGTGGCCTGCACTGCCCAAAACCCCAGTCCAGAGAGGACTGGGTTGACTTTGCCTTCCACCCTTCATCCTTCTAATGATCAAGGCTGGTGATTCCATCTCTGAAATATTCCCAGAATTTCATGCCCCACCCCACACCCAGGCTCTCATCCTGGTCTTTCATCTTCTCCCACCTGGACTATGGCAGCAGCCTCTTTCCCATTCTCCCTCCTCCTCTTTACCCCACAACTTGCTCTCTGTAATGCACCCATAGGGACCTAACACATACCCCCATCAGGGCCCTCCTCAATTTGGAGACATCTGCTTGCTGCATCTCTTCTAGATTTTAAAAAACCAAGGTTGTCAACCACAGCCCACAAGGCCCTAGGTGAACTTTCCCTGATCATCTCCAGCCTCTTCTCTTCTCACTCTCCCCACATTCACTGTACTACACTGGCTTCCTTGCTCCTCCTCAGTGCAGCACCTTTACACTGGCTGTTCCTTCTGCCCAGAATGCTCCTCTCCCAGGTACCTGGTTCCCTCTCTCCCCTCATTTTTTACTTATTGGCACCTTTTCAGTGAGACCTCCGCTCTATCTAAAATCGCACCTCCCCCCCCCCACTCCCTTCCCCGCTTCAGTTTTTGCCATAGCAACACTGCCCTCCTCCAGCTGACACCCTAAGTGTTGGGCATTTGCAGGGGCTGTTCTCCACGGAGGATCCAGCCCATATGCCTTCCAGGCCAGCTCCTCTCATCCAGGAGTCTGCGCACACGTTGTCTCCTTAAAGAGTCCTCTTCATTCATTCATCCATCCACAACCCCTGCCCCATCACATTTTCATTTAGTCTTTTCAGCACTTATCACAATCCGAAATTATCTTGTTTATTAGTTTACTAGTTTATCTTCCACTTAAGCAGAATAGGAGCACCATGAGGACAGGATTTTGTCAGCTGTGTTCACTGCTGTATTATTCCCAGCTTGGCACCCGACTTGGCCAACGGGTATGAGGTACCAGGTACAATTTTCCCCCAAATAAACAATCCTTGTTCTGCTCTGAAACTGCTTTACTGACTACAAAAGTTCAAGCGAGGAGTAGCAGGGACCTGGCATCAAGGGAAATAAGCACTGATGTGGTTTGGGCCCAGGTCAACTCCAAGGTTCAAAGGGTCTGTAGAAGGGGGTGCTGCAATGGCCCAGGCACGGGTAGTGGGACAAGGCAGGCCCATGTTTGAGGAGTATCTCTTCCTCTGTTTTCTTTTTTCTTCCTCTGTTTTCTATCATCTGTCCCACGACATTATCTATCCTGGTCCTTATGCACTGGGGGTCTTAGTGTCCAGGAGCTCAGGCTTGGCATCCAGTGTGGGAGGTGCAGGCCTCTGGGCAATGACCACAGCTATGTCAGGCCCTCCACAGATGATGGGATTCCTCACGTCCAGGAAGCTGGGCAGTCCCAAAGTGACAGAGATGGAACACATAGGGGAAAGAGGGAAGAGAAGGAGAGAGGGAAGGAAGGATGAGGGGGGAGAAATGGTGAGGAACAGGAAGGCCGAGGTGGAAGGGGAATATCAAGAGACACAGAGAGATTTGTGGGGAGACAGGAAGAGATGTGAAGCCAGAGAGACATTCACGGGGGAGTAAATAGGTACAGGGAAACAGAGGAAAATGTGGGGGACATGGAAAGACAGATATGGGGACAGGCCAAACAGGGGAATACAGAGGGCCAGTGATATGAGGGACACAGAAAGATGCAGGTGAAGAGAGACGTGAGGAAATGGGGAGACAGATGGGGGGGCAGAGAGACAGGGTAGCAGAAACATAGAGGTGGAGATGGGAAGAAAGAAGGACATTGAGAGATGGTGATTGAATGGGTCAGGAGAGGCAGAGAGAGACACTGTCAGCCAGGGGCCCTGGTGGGCTTCAGGAAGAGTCCTAGGCCTGTCCCTGCTCTTCTGTACACTCCCCTGAGCCCCAGCATAGTCAGGCCCTAGTCACAAACATAGAGCCTCCAGGGGTAGCCACACTGCCATCCCAGCTACCTGCCACAAACTGTGAATATGGACCCAGTGCTGCTAGATCTGCTGAGCCTCCAGGAAAGACCAAAAATGACTATAAAACACTGTTGAGGCCAGAAAAAATCAGATCTCTGAGCCATGTGCAACCCACTGGTTGTCAGACTGAGAAACCTTAGCTACAGGGCTACTTCAGAGAGGCTCCTTTGTGAAACCCCTTCCCACTTCCTTGTCCAGCTGGGGCTGAGAGCTATGGGACTCCAAACTTGGTCCTGGGGGTCTTAAGCAGGGAAACGGCCTGATCAAACTGATTTTTCAAGACATGATACCCTCCTCCGATACTTGGTAGTAAAACATAGGGGCAAAAGGGCCTTTAGATGGGGCTGGGGAGACTCTGTGAGGTAGGCTGCAAACTCAAGCTCTATTAGGATTCAGGCAAGGAGCTCTCCAAAAGGAGAGCACTGGCCTCCTGCGGAGTCAGACACCTGGTTTGAATGTTGACTCTGCAGCTTACTGGCTGCCTTACTTTGGGCAAGTTACTGTAGCATCCTGGTGCCTGTTTTTTTCATCTGAAAAATGGGGACCAGAGCCACATCAAGGTCATATGAGTTTTAAGTTATTAACTCTGTCTGGCACAGAGTAAGGGCAGCCATTACCCTGCTCTGACCAATAGTTGGTAGGCGTTGACAGATTGACTTTTTTTTTTTCCCCAAGAAAACTCAGAAGTTTGGAAACATGAGTGAAATGTTCTGACTTTTAAATACTGGACCCTTGCACTGAAAATGAAAATACATGTGCTCTGGGGGCCAGGTGGCCACACTCACCAGGCATAGCAGGCCCTGGAGCGCCTAGCTGGCAGGCCCTCCTTGCACAGCTGCTGTACCAGCTGTTCTAGAGCCTGCAGCTGCACCTGATGCTGCTCATGGTGCCGCTGCAGCCTCCACACCCGCTTCTGCAGTGCTCCCAGGACACTGCCCAGCCCAGCCAGAGAGTTCTGGGCCTGGACTCCAGGCTGTGGCCTGGCAGGAGCAGGAGGAGGAGGCAGGGAGGTCAGGAACATGGTGGCCGTGGCTTCAGGGCCTCCAGATGCTGACCCCAGTACCGCAAGGTGCATAGGGCCAGGGGCTGAGACAGCTGGATCCGGAGACAGGGGCATGGCCTCTGGTGAAGAGGGAGACACGACTGGCTTCTCAGTGCTTCGGGAACTCTGCTGCCTCTGGAAGAAAAGGCATGGGATGAGAGGCATCAGGGTCAGACTTTAAGGGATACTGTCCTCCGATAAGGCCAGACCTCAAGGAGGAACTTCCTTGAGGGGAGGCCTGAGGGTCAGACTGCAGCAGGGACTTCCCTCAGGAGAGGAAGGCTGAGGATCAGACTCCACAGGTCATTTCCAGGTGGGGAAGACAGGGTCAGACTCCAACAGTGGGACCTCCCTTTGCTCACCTTAGCAGGTGGTGCTGGGGAGAAAATGGATGGCACTGCATCAGGCCGCAGGTAGCGCACACCCCAGCGCCACTGGAAGCAGGAAGGTGTGAAGTGCTCACTGCACAAATGGTGGTGGCAGCTGGGCACCCAGTCCTCATGGCCCATGTGCCTCAGCCAGGCCTGCAGCCGGGGGCCGTCCTTCAGTGGGAACCTGCCAGGGACAGTGGGGTTACAGGGTCAGCAATATCAGGTCAGTCCCACCTCTCTCTGGTGACATGCACACGCAGAGGTCCCTGGGCTCCAAACTTCTGTCTACCTAGGCCAGAAACTGGCCCTGCCTCTTACCCAGAGTCTCTCTACCACCAACCTACATCCCAACCTTCAGCTTCACCACTCATTCATTCATTTTAAAGATTTTATTTATTTATTCATAAGAGACACAAAAAGAAGGCAGAGACATAGGCAGAAGGAGAAGCAGGCTCCCTGTGGGGAGTCCGATGCCGGACTCCCAGGTTATGCTGTGTCAAAGGTAGACACTTAACCATTGAGCTACCCAGCACCCCATGAGCCACCCAGGGATCCCTTTTTATTTTTTATAATGAATTTATCTGAGACAGAGAAAGAGAGAACACTTGCCTGTGCGTGAGAGCACGCACAAGTGGGGGGAGAGGCAGACGGAGAGGAAGGAGACTCCTCACTGAGCAGGAAATCGGAAGTGGGGCTCAATCCCAGGATCATGACCTGAGCTGAAAGCAGATGCTTAACTGACTGAGCCACCCTGGTGCCCTCAGCTCCAGCTTTTTTTTTTTTAATATTTCATTTATTCATTCATGAGAGACAGAGAGAGAGAAAGAGAGAGGCAGAGACACAAGGCAGAGGGAGAAGCAGGCTCCATGCAGGGAACCCGATGTGGGACTCGATCCGAGGTCTCCAGGATCACACCCTGGTCTGAAGGCAGCGCCAAACCGCTGAGCCACCCAGGCTGCCCAGCTCCAGCTTTTGAACACCCAACATCAGCCTACCTCTCCCACCTCTGCTGTCCCTCCCTTCCAGCATCCATACTCTCCTGACTGGACTTTTACAGCAGCCTCTTTCCCAATCTCCTGACCCATAGCCACTCTGCCCTCCCCCACAATCTGTTCCTCTACATGAACCTGAGAGAGCAGTCTATGAAACTGGGCAAATCTAGAATGTGTCCACATTCATGGGGATGGGGATGGGGGGGGAGTAGGGTGGGGTTATAGATTAAAAGAAATGTAAGAAACATCCAATTGCAGACTGTGGTCCTCATCTGCAACAAACCATTTCATAAAAAGACATTTTAACACAGTAGGGGGAAAACTGAACATAAATTGGATATTGGATAGTTGTAAGAAACTAATCTTGCTAGGTATGATAATTGTATTGGTTTATGCTTCTAAAATAGTCATCCGTTGGAAAAACATTCTGAATATTTACGGGTAAAAGAACTAATATCTAGGATTTACTTTAAAATCATGCATTAAGGGACACCTGGGTGGCTCAGTGGTTGAGTGCCTGCTTTTGGCCCAGGGTGTGATCCCAGGACTGAATCCTGCATTGGGTTCCCTGTATGGAGTCTGCTTCTCTCTCTCTGCCTGTGTCTCTGCCTCTCTCTCTCTCTCTCTCTCTCTCTCTCTCTCTCTCTGTCTCTTGTGAATAAATAAAATCTTTTTTAAAAATCATGCATTACAGGGTGGGAGCAGATAAAAAAGATTAGCAAAATGTTGACAATTGGTGAATCTGAGTGACTATGCATGAGAATCCATTCATATAACTTTTTAAAAAAGATTTTTATTTACTTATTCATGAGAGACACAGAGAAAGAGAGAGAGGCAGAGACACAGGCAGAGGGAGAAGCAGGCTCCATGCAGGGAGCCCGACATGGGACTTGGTCCCAGGTCTCCAGGATCACACCCTGGGCCAAAGGCGGGCGCTAAACCTCTGAGCCAACCAGGGATCCCCATAAATAAATCTTTTAAAAATAAATAAAATAATAAGAAATATAAATATAAATAAGTAAAATAAAAATTAAAACCAAACGTGTTAGTGAGCATGTGCAGAAACTGGAACCTGATGCACTGTTGGAGAGAAATGTAACATGGTGCAGCCACTATGGAAAACGATACAGTACCTCCTCAAAAAAATTAAAAATAGAATTACCATATGATCCAGCAATTCTACTTCTAGGTATGTACCTGAAAGAATTGAAAGTGGGGTCTTGAAAAGATATTTGCACACTAACGTTCATAACCGCATTATTCACAACAGCCAAAAGCCAATATTCATCAATGGATGAATAGGTAAGGAAAATGTGGCATATGCATACAATAGAATATTATTTAGTCTTAAAAAGGAAATTCTGACACATGCTATAACATGAGTGACCTTCAAGACATTATGGTAAATGAAGTAAGCCAGTTGCATACACACAAAATACCACTTATATGAATTATCTAGAGTTGTCAAATTCATAGAAAAAGAAATAGAATGGTGGTTTCCAGCGGCTGAAGGGAGTAGGAAATTGGAGTTTGTTGTTCAATGCACATGGAGTTTGTTTCGCACGATGACAAAGTTCTGAAGATTGGGTTGCACAATAATGTGAATATCCTTAATATTACTGAACTGGATATTCAAAAATGGTTACGATGGTAGATTTTATACGTATGTTACAATTAAAAATAAAGTTAAAAAAAATGAACTGAATAAAAGCTTTCCCTGTGGGAATAGGTGGGGATTATCTGAGACTCAAGACTGTCCACAATGAAGACCTCATTTTCCGGCTTCCTTCGCAGCCAGGGGTGGTCACATAATTGAGTTCTGATTGATCTGTCATGCAGCAGCAGTCAGAAACTGTGACACATTAACTGTTTAAGTGGTTAAATTTTGAGATGGTTTGTTATGCAGCACTAAATAACTAATATAGTCAGTCATCCACACTCCACCTGCACAGTATCTTCCATATCTGTCACATTATATACTTAATATTTTTCTTAAAATTGACCAACTTTAAGTATGAAACAAAGATACCTCAAAGAGAAACTTTACACCACAACTGAAAATGGAAAACCAGTTACCAATTCCAGGAACAGAAGTTGACCAAAAAAACAGCTGGATACTTTCTTCTGCTGAGGGCTCTGAGGCCTCTGTCTGTTAAAAGGGCAGAGTAAGGGGTGCTAGAGCGGAGGATAACACCATCTATAGGAGACAAGGTAACAAACTCAGGCACAGGCACACAAAGGAATACCATACAGCCCTAAAACAGAATGTGGAGGCACTCTATGAACTGATGTGCTATTTTCAGGCACATGTATTACCTGAAAAAAAAAAAAAAAGGTGCAAACAGCTTTTAGTAACTGTGGCAGGCTCGGTAATGACCCCCCAAAGATATCCATGTTCAAATCCCTGGAATCTGCAAATACTATGTTGCATGACAAAAGATGCGATTAAGTTAAGGATCCTGAGATGAGGAAGTCATCCTAGAACATTCATTTGGGCCCTACATGCAATCCCAAGTATCCTTGCGAGAGGGAGGCCAAGTGGACATTACCACAGATGAAAGCAGAGAAGGTGATGTGACTACAAAGGCAGAGATTGATGTGGCCCCCAGAAGCTGGAAGAGGCAAGACACAGATTCTCTCCTACAGCCAGCCTCACTGGGAGTGCCATCCTGCCAACACCTTGGTTCTGGCCCAGTAAAACTGACTTGCACTTCTGGTCTCCAGAAATGGGAGAGAATAATTTCTGCTATTTTAAGCCATCAAGTTTGTTTCAACATTCACAGGAAACTAATATAGCAATAGAGGGGAAATTAGAACATGTATTCAGATTTGCTCATATCTGTATAAAGAAACTTTTGGAAAAGACACGTTAAGAAAGGAGGTGGGCAGGATGAACAGAGATGGGTGCAGGAGCAGGACTTCCCAGCCCAAAGGCAGACAGACAGGGCAGGTGGGGGTGGGGGTACAGCTGGTAAAAGGACACGGGCTGACTCAGAAGAGCTGTGGCACCCAAAGAGCAGAACCCCAGGGCACCCAGCCAGGAGCTCTGGCTGCTGTAGTCCCTTTCGCCTCTGTTTGGGATCCAAATCTCATCAACCCCATTCTGCCTGGACACACACAAGAACTCTCTTGCAGCAGCATTCCCCAGCCCCTCCTCCTTGGCAGAGACTGACAACTGACCACTCCACATCCCCTTTCTTTCTTCCTTACTAAAAAAACTCCAACTTTAGTTGAGGTCATGATGTGCCTCGCTAGAAGACTGTTTCCCAGGTTGCTTTGTGTAGGTGGGGCCACGTAACTAAGTTCCGGCCAGTGAATACTTTTGTGTCGTGTGAGAAATCTGGCAGGGTACCTTAAAAATGCGAAGGGTCCTCAAATGGATCAGGGAACCTCAAGGGGCAAAGGAGGAAAATATGAAAAACTTCTTCCTTGGGCGTCTGCATGGCTGAGTTGGTTAAGTGTCTGCCTTGGCTCAGGTCATGATCCGGGGGTCCTGGGATCAAGTCCTGTGTCAGGCTACCTGCTCAGCGGGGAGTCTGCTTCTCTCTCTGCTCTTCCCCCCTGCTCATGATCTCTCTCTCTCTCAAATAAATAAAACCTTAAAAAAAAAAAACCCACCTCTTCCTCACTTGGTCTTTTTCTTATTCTCTTTTGTTCTTCTGGATGGCAACACATTTACAATGGGCTCTCTAAAAATCTACTTTAAGTAGTCAGTGCCCTCCTTTTCTCTAGAATTGTTTAGTCTTGTTGGTCATCCTTCTAGATCATACACTGCTAGAAATTCTTCTTTAAAAATGGGTGTGGGGGGCAGCCCTGGTGGCGCAGCGGTTTGGTGCCGCCTGCAGCCTGGGGTGTGATCCTGGAGACCTGGGATCGAGTCCCACATAGGGCTTCCTGCATGGAGCCTGCTTCTCCCTCTCCCTCTGCCTGTGTCTCTGCCTCTCTCTCTGTGTCTATGAATAAATAAATAAAATCTTTAAAAAAATGTGTGTGTGTGTGTTATTTTCTGGAGTTCCAGGGTGGCTTATTCAGTTAAGGATCTGCCTTTGGCTCTAGTTATGATCCAAGAGTCCTGTGATTGAGCTCCACATCCGGCTCCCTGGTCTGAGAGGAGCCTGCTTCTCTCTCTGCCCACTGCTCTGTCTGCTTGTGCATGTGCACACTTTCTCTCTCGTTCTGTCAAATAAATAAAATCTGTTATTTTTTTTTAATTTTTTATTTATTTATGATAGTCACAGAGAGAGAGAGAGAGAGAGAGAGAGAGAGAGAGAGAGGCAGAGACACAGGCAGAGGGAGAAGCAGGCTCCATGCACCGGGAGCCCGATGTGGGATTCAATCCTGGGTCTCCAGGATCGCGCCCTGGGTCAAAGGCAGGCGCCAAACCGCTGCGCCACCCAGGGATCCCTAAAATCTGTTTTTTAAAAGTTATTTTCTTCCTTACTAACAATGAATTCAAAATTTCTTCAGGGTGGTTAAATGCCCTGCTAAATTATATTTCCCAGTCTCCTTTGTAGTTGGGTTGGCCAATGATGAAGAACTCACGATCAGGTGGGGTTTCTGGGAAGGATTTATAAAGGACTAACTCCACTCACGGTTAGAGCCCCTTTTGCTCTTCCTCCCTTCTCTTTTCTTACCAGGAATGGTGGGCCTTGATGGTTGGGGCACTTGGCAGCCATCTTGCATGAGACTGCATGCTAAGGATGACAGCACAGAAAAATAGGAATCTCAACCCTAATGATTTGTGGGCTTGCCACACCAGTGCTTGTCTGTCAACCTCTGTATGTGTTTTTTTTTTAAGATTTTATTTATTCATAGAGACAGAGAGAGAGAGGCAGAGACACAGGCAGAGAGAGAAGCAGGCTCCATGCAGAGAGCCTGACGTGGGAGTTGATCCAGGGTCTCCAGGATCACGCCCTGGGCTGCAGGCGGTGCTAAACCACTGCGCCACCAGGGCTACCCTCTGTATGTGTTTTATTCAAGAGAAAAATAAACCCTTAGGGGATTCTATTATTGTTCAAGATATTTGCTGCCCTTCCCCACATGAAGGTTACATATCTCTACTGCACTGACCCGAGGCTTGCCACAGACTTGCTTTGGCCAAAGGACTGAAAGTGATGTGGGCCACTTCTAAATATAGAATTTATGAGGAGCTATTGGGTGACTCTCCCTATTTTCACTTTTACCCCTTCTACAAGACCAGAAGTTTCCATGTAGGGGAGGCTCCTTCAGCCTGAGTCCCGGGTTAGGATACTATAGAGTAGGTCCATAAATGTTCTGCAAAGGACATATTGTGAATGAGAAATAAACTTTTGTTGTAGTACGAGATTTTGTAACTGTTATTGTAGCTATATCCTATATGCTATAAACTCCATAATTTTTTTAAATCCAATAATATTTCAGGACTTTCTTACTGCCAGCCAAATGCAATTCCTAACTTCCCATTAGAAGACTTCCCATTAGAGCTGACTCTGATTTTCCTGAAAGGGCCAAAAACAAATGAATGTTTCCTCTGGCTGCCTGGCAGGCCCTTACGTTATTCCCCTGCAGCCACTTCCCTCAATATGATTCACCTTGTTCCTTCTTGCCATCCACACCTTCTCCTGAATCTCCTTTGCAAACAGCTCCTCACCAAACTCTTAACTATGTGGCTTCTGCAAGACTGACTCAGGGATGAGCCTTGAGGAGGAAATGGGTTAGCTTGTGTGAAGGATGGTCTGGAAGCCATTGGTGGGATTTAAACAACACAGACAAGAACTAATTTTTTATAAAATCATCTGGATGCTCTGTACAGTTGTTATTGTTCTCATTATTATAGGTGAGGCACTTAGAACAGTGCCTGGCATAAGTGCTCTCTAAATAAGTTGTTATTGTTGCTCTTGTCAGGGACACAGAAGTGTAGGCAGGGAGGCCAGCAAGCAGCTATCACAATGTTTCATTAACAGATGTTGGCAGCCTGAACTACACCATGAGAACAGAGGTAATATGAAGTAGTCAGGCTGGAAATGTAGAGCTTTTGGTTGTTGTTGTTATTTCCTAATAGTTTAGTTAGGATTTTCCCATTTGCATTTATAACTCTACTGCCAAGGTATGAAGGGTTTTGTTGTGATTGTCACAGGGTGGGGATGTGTTTGGAGGATAAAGTCAAAGGATGGGTTGATGGACTGACTGACAGCAGCAGTGCTGAAGAAAGATTGGGAGTGACTCCCAAGTTGTATGTTCAGTTCTTCAGTGTTTGATGCTTTACCTATCCATGAGCTTTGTCTGGACAGGATCTGTCAGGATCCTCTGTGTCTAGGAGGGGCTTCCATACTCCAGGAGACACTCAGAGTTGCTGAATTAATAAACACTGCCAGAGCAATGTATCTTTAAAAAAACCAAATCTGGACACACTGATTTAGGTTTAAAGACTCCTCTGCATTACTCTTACTCTGCACCAGGGTCCCTTCAAGGGACAGGGATTGCTGAGTTTCCTGGGGGAGGCCATCTGAAATGCATTAATGAAATTCAGCCAACAAATATGTACTGAGCACCCCCTATGCAACAGGCATTATTTTAGGGTTGGGGAAATGACAAAAAAAAAAAATCACTGACATTCTAGTGGAGAAGACAATAAATGAATACATTAAATATGTGATATGCCAAATAGTGATAAGCATCAAAAGGATAAGTAAAGGGATCCCTGGGTGGCTCAGCGGTTTAGCGCCTGCCTTCGGCCCAAGGTGTGATCCTGGAGACCCGGGATCGAGACCCATGTCAGGCTCCCTGCGTGGAGACTGCTTCTCTCTCTGCCTGTGGCTCTGCCTCTCACTCTCTCTCTCTCATGAATAAATAAATAAAATCTTTTTTTTTTTAAAAAAGGATAAGTAAAACAGGAGGTAAATAGGGAGAATACCTACAGATCTGGGAGAGGATTATCATTTTACATAGAGTGGTGGTCATAAAGGTAAGACCTTTCCAGGGAGAGGAAAAAGCACAAGCAAAGTCCCAGGGGCAACAATGTGCCTGGCGTGCTAGGGGAACAGCATGTTGCCAGTGACACTGGAGCACAGTATTAAGGGACAGGAGGAAGGAAATGAGGTCATACAGATACTGGGGATCCAGCCCCTGTAGGGCTTTCTGTCTACTCCAGTCTCACCTTCTTATCTTGTATAGAGTGAGGTGGAAGCCAGGAGAGAATCTGAACAGAGGAGGACTCTGATCTGACTCACGGGTACACAGATTCCTTGTGTCTGTGTGTGGGGATCAGAGTGTGGGAGCGCCTTGACTAATGAAGAGGCTACTAAAATAGTGCAGTTAGGAGGTGGTAATGACCAGAACCTGAATGGAGGCAGAGAAGGTTAGAAGTGGTCAATTCTGGATAGATTTGAAAGGAAGAGCCAACAGGATCTGCTGATGGGCTGGATGAGGAATGTGTCCTACCCCATTTAGACTAAGGCTAACAGGGATACACCTGTCATCCCAAAGAGTCAGGTTTATTTACCATTGCGATGAGGAAAATTGCACACCAGAAATACCAGAAGTGAGGAGTCTCAACAAAGGAAAAGACAGGGTTATTACTTGAGTTTGGGAGAAGGGTGAATTTTAGGTGAAATGTAAATGAAACTGTTTGGATAGGCTTAAAGCAAAGCAGAACTGTGTGTAAAGGCATAGATACTAGGTTTGGGTTGTGAAAGTGAGTCCAGGGTCCTGTCTCCTTGAAAGCAATAAAGTTGGGATGCCTGGGTGGTTCAGTGGTTGAGCATCTGCCTTCGTCTCAGGGTGTGATCCTGGGTTCTGGGGATCAAGTCCCGCATCAGGCTCCCTGCGAGGAGCCTGTTTCTCCCTCCCCCTGTGTCTCTGCTTCTGTCTCTCATGAATGAATAAAACCTTTTTTTTAAAAAAAAAAAGCAGTAAAGTTTAGGTAGATGTGGAAAAACTATGTCCAGAAATGCCTTACCTGAAGCTCTGCACCTGGGCAGAAGCAACTGAGGTTGCTTCCCTGTGTCAATGTGACAACTCTTCCAGGTGCTAAGCGAGATGTTTCATTATTACTGATAGAATTCCAAATGGCGAAGTTTATGATAGTCTACGATTTTAAACAACAAAAAAGCAGCAAAAAAGCAGCAGTCAAAGAAGAAGGATTATTTTTCACTTTATATCTGCAGCATCTGAGAAAAATAGAAATATTTTCTCTTATTAACTCTTCAGTCGAATTTTCCCGTGTCTTTTATTCCAGCTGGGGAATAATAAGTGGGAGGACAGATTTTTTTTCCTTTCTTCTTCTTTTTTTTTTTTTAACAGTTCAAGCTCATTTTTACTTTCCCCAATGCGAGCAAAGAAAAGAGGTAGGTATGACTCTTAAGATTTCCTGCCTGAACAACAGGAAAGATGGAGCGAGCTCTTAACTGAAATAGGAAAGGCTGTGGAAAGTTTGGGAGAGAGACAAGATCAGGAGCTCAATTCTGGATGTTTTGCGTTTGAGATAAATTCGTGGAGATAACAAGTGGGCAGTTTTAGGGTCCTTCCCCTACACAGTCCCACTTCTCATGCTCGCTGCTTTCACTACCTGTAGTTTATCGTCCACCCCTGCGTTTTAACACTTCTGCACCTCTGCGTGTGCTGCGTTTAGGGCTGAGAACACCGTCTCTTCACTTTGCTAGCCCTGCTTCCAGACACCTGCAAGCTGGACCAGGCGCGCGGCCACAGCTGCAGTTACCCTCGGGCTCCGCCCCCAGCCCCACCCCAGCCCCGCCCCCCGAGCCCCGCCCCGCGCTTGCGCTCACTTGTAGAAGCTCACGGGGCGGTTGTCAGCGCCCAGTCGGCCCGCAGTGTTGGAGCAGTTCGGAGCCCGGCAGTACTTGGGCATGGCTGTTCCACCCCGTTGAGTCCTGCCCAGTCTGCAGCCGCACTTTGATCCTCGCCGGGCGCCGCCGAACCCCACCCTGCCCGCTCTCCGCCTACCCCACGTGATGGCCCTTGGTGCCTCATCACGTGCAGGGGAGGGAAGAGAGCGCCTGCGCACTACGCGCCCAGCCGCGTTACCACAGTTACGCCCTGGTCACGTGGCGAGTGGGGAAAGCGCGAGGACGTCGGCGCAAAGCCCGTTCTTAGGCATCCGGACCTTACCACGTGTTGGGGGAGGGGAGTCGCGGCTTTTCTGAGCATGCGCCGAGTGATCGGTCTCATTGGACTCCACCCCATCTTACATCCGGGCGACTGCCACTGCGTGGGTAGTTGCTGGGGGTGGGGAGTGCGGCAAAAAGCGAACTGGAGGCTTTGATCTTCGCTACGTAAAAAGTTAACACCTAAATGCTTGTTAATGGTGAAAACAGACCGCGTAAAAAACGCCACTTCCTTGATCAGGCATCAAGTAGAGGAGCTCCGGTTCCACCCGGCCGTAGGCTTCGCTCCGCCTCTCGGCCCTCATTGGTCAAAACCGGCACCCGGCGGCCCTGACATTGGCCAGACCCGGGCCTGCCGCGTCCAATGGGCGGCGGCGCCGGCTTTCCCGCGGCCGTTTGCTCTTCCAGTGGGTCGTGGAGGCGGCGGCGGCGGCGGCGGTTGAGGGGCCTAACGGTTGCCCGGCTCCGGCGCGTCGATGGCGGCCTTGGGGCCCGGAGGCTACGCGCGCAACGATGCAGCGGAGAAGCTGCCGTCCGGCGCGGCTGGGGTTCCGGCGCGGAGGGGCCAGTGCTCTCCGCCCCCCGCCCCGCCGCTCTGTCTCCGGCGGCGGACACGACTCTCGACGGCGCCGGAGGACACGGTGCAGAACCGGGTGAGGAGCTGTTTGCCCTGCCCACCCCAGTCCCGGGGTTCGGCGGCCTCCCCCGGCCCCGCCCCCGGATCGCCGGCCCCGCCTCAGCCCTCGGCTCGGCCCCTCAGGCTCCGGTCTGGCCCGCGGCGTCTCGCAGGCCCCTCCCACCCTCCCGTCTCCTCTCCCTCAGGCACTGGCCTTCAGACCGGTCCCAGCTCTCCCTTCCCTCAGAGGGTATTTTAGTTCTGATCACCTTCGCCCTCCTTCCTGCCTCTCCCTTCAGTCACCGTTAGATGTCTCTCTGGCCCTTCATTTTTGTTGACCCCGCCCTACGCTGGATCTTTAGGGTCCCCACCAGTCCGTGTGCAGTCCCGAGCGCTACCCACCTCGTCTGTCCCTCAGCTCATTCCACCTTCTCTCCCCACCTGCCCGCCCTTTCTTTCCACCCTTAGCGACGTGGAATTCTTGGCGCATGTTGCCACCCCAGGTTACGGACACTGTGTGAGTAAATGTAAAACCTCAGCAGCGCTTCCGAAGTGGGGGTTGACATACAGAATAGTCCCCGACGTCCTTAGATAGAAAATCAAAGACGATTTTAGAGTAGGTACAAGGTATTCTCTTAGCACACCAGCGGCTTAAAAAAATGGTTCTCCAACTCTCCGAGCTACAAAGTCTATTTTTATAAAAGAGAAGTTGACAGTAATCATGCCACGGAGTTGCAGGGAGCAGAGATGAAATCGTGACCATGACCTGCTCTTGGCAGAGGCCAGATAGAGGGTGGAAACACGGTAGATCCTGGTGGATCTTGTTTCTGCCACCTGGCGTCCTGCTGCACTCTGATTATATCACCCATTCCTGGCTGTAAGGCCTTGCTAGGCAAGTGGCCCCTCCCCACCTCTCTGGCAGTACCTCCATTGTCCTCCCTTTTATCAGTGTTAGGTCACACTAGCCAGCTGTTTTCCCGAGGCTCCAAGCTCTTTACCTCCTCCCAAGTGTTTGCTGAGTCCTTTGGGCTTTTTTGCTGCAGTCCACCTGGCTGGCTCCTCATTCCTCAAATCTCAGCCTGAATATCCCTAGCCTGAGCTGCCTTTTTGAACCCCCCCACCTAAGATAGACACCTACTTTAATCTCTTACCTAGCATGCTGTATGTACTTCATAGCTTTTCTCTTGTATGTTCCTGAAAGTACTTGTGAGCTCTAAACTGCGTGTAAAATAAAGGAATAGCAGTGGAGATTTCAGAGAGCAACGTGGTTAAGCGGCCTCTGGACCCAGACTGCCTGGGCTTAAACCTTAATTCTGTTCTTGTTATGAACTTTTCTGTGCCTCAGTTTCCTCATCTGTCAAATGATGATAATAATATAAATATTCCCTTGCAGGGTATTTGTGAGGATTAAGTGAACTCACGTATCTTAAGCATTAGAACAATACCTGGCACATTGCAAGTACTCTTATTAGTGGTAGCTACTACTTCTTTGATTGTGTATCTTGGATAATTGGTGTCATTTATTTATTCTTGTTTGGTGGCACAGAGTCCATCTGGCTTACAAAAGATGTACTCTAAAAATGACCATTATATTATATTAATGCCCAGTAATGCTGGTTGACAGATAGAAAAATAATGTGCCATTGTTTGATTGTTTGGAATAGAGTCCTGCTGCTGCTCCTTCCTGGGTGGGTTACCTCTCTGGGCCCCTTTATAGCCTCATCTGTAAGATGGAGAGGAGGAGGATGATGATAATGACCACATCACAGGGTTATTGTGAGCATAAGTCAGTACAGGTATTTAAACAGTGCCTGGCTCCTGGTAAATGCTCAAGAAGAGTTAGCTATTATTATCCTATGTTTGCCTCTCATTTCTAAAGCCAAAGACTTGCTTGAGAATGTTTTGCTTTATAATAATTTGAAACTAGGGGATCCCTGGGTGGCTCAGCAGTTTGGCGCCTGCCTTCGGCCCAGGGCGTGGTCCTGGGGTCGGGTCCCGTATCGGGCTCCCTGTGTGGAGCCTGCTTCTCCCTCTGCCTGTGTCTCTGCCTCTCTCTCCTTCTCTCTGTGTGTGTGTGTGTGTCTCTCATGAATAAATACAATCTGTAAATTTAAAAAAATAATAATAATTTGAAACTAGTATATTCAAAATATGAAAATACCACAATTCTAATAGTCCATATTCTAAACAGTTTCAATCAACCATGATAGTGACTTGTTCATTTAAATTACTTTGCTTAGAGAATTTAAGAATTTTAAGTGTGACTATTCATTTGTTTCTTTACTTGTTGAACCTCTAGACTATGAATTTGCTGAGGGAACAGATGGTGTCCACTCTTGCTCACTGCTGTGTCTCTCCTTCAGGGCCCAAGGTACTGGCTTTGGAGCCAGAAACTGGCTGGGTTTGTATCCCAACCTTGCCATTCCACAGGTGTGGGGATTTTGAGGCAAGGTCATTGAGCCTCAAAATCCCCACACCGGTGGAGTGATGACAGTTGTGCATTCTTTGGGTCGTGGGGTTTCAAATCTTTCATCCATATAAAATACTTAGAAATGTACTCAGAGGCCGCCTTCTCAGTGAGCCTCTCCTTCTATACTCCCAGTCTTCTTCCCTGCTTTATTTTTCTCTCTTGCTCCTATCATCATCTGACATCTGTTTTACATATTCTGTATATTTTTTATGTCCTCCATCCCATCTCCACTAGGGCAGGGATTTTTGTCTGTCTTCCTCACCATTCTGTGTCCTTCAAAGGAATCTCGAGAACAAATGTTAGGTGTTGGTGGCATGACTGTAGAAGCTCAGTTGTTGTATGTAACAGGCACTGAATGGGTGGCTGAGGCACTGGTGCCACAAAGGACCTATTGAGACAGGTTCTTCTGACCTGGGCTTTTTCCCCACAGGTGTCACTCGAGAAGGTACTTGGCATCACAGCCCAGAACAGCAGTGGCCTAACCTGTGACCCCAACACAGGCCATGTGGCCTACCTAGCAGGGTGAGTGAATGAATGGGACTTGGTTTTTCCATCTGTAGAATGCAGATGAGCTCTCTACCCCTGAGGGCTGTGGAGAGGATTCCACAGGCCCATCTGTGTCTAGAACAGTACTGGCTTGTGAGCACTATGAAAGCCCTACTGTAACTGCAGGTGGCATGTGGCAATGATTCTCGGAAAGACCCAAGCCATGGTGTCAGACAGCCTGAATTTGTGTCCCAGCTTCAACATGTACTCTTCTGTGAACACCTCCTTTTTCTTTACTTTTTTTTTTTTTTTTGAGATTTTTATTTATTTATTTATGAGACACATAGGCAGAGGGAGAAGCAGGCTCCTTGCAGGGAACCTAATGTGGGACTTGATCCCAGGACCCCATATCATGCCCTGAGCCAAAGACAGATGCACAACTGCTGAGCCACCCAGGTGCCCCAGCACCTCCTTTTTCATTCATAAAACAGAACTAATGATATCTTCCTCTTAGGTAGTTGAGAGGACTGAAAGATATCCTCCTATTGTTTATTCCACAGATACTGACCTAGTCTGTTCTAGGCACTGAAGGGACCCCTCCTCGCTTCTAGGGCATGACAGACCTGTGGTCATTCCTGATGAATTGTATCTGTTATTCAGTCTTTGGGATACAGTCCAGGGGTGGACTCTTAAATCTGACAGGTGTGGATTCATATCCCCACTCTGTCTGACCTGCTGGTGGCCCTGGGCAAAGGATTTTCCCTCTCTGGTTTTCAAGTTTCCTCATCTCTAAAAGGGAGACTAAGATGTCCAGCTTCACCTGGTAATTGTCACAAGATTTTTTTTTTATTTTTTTAAAGATTTTAGATGGGACACCTGGGTGGCTCAGCAATTGAGCGTCTGCCTTTGGCTCAGGGCATGGTCCTGGGATCTGGGATCGAGTCCCGCATTGGGATCCCTGCAGGGGGCCTGCTTCTCCCTCTGCCTGTGTCTCTGCCAATCTCTCTCTGTGTGTCTCTCGTGAATAAATAAATGAATCATTTTTTTTTAAATAAAGATTTGAGGGATCCCTGGGTGGCGCAGCGGTTTGGCGCCTGCCTTTGGCCCAGGGTGCGATCCTGGAGACCCGGGATCGAATCCCACATCGGGCTCCTGGTGCATGGAGCCTGCTTCTCCCTCTGCCTGTGTCTCTGCCTCACTCTCTCTCTCTCTGTGACTATCATAAATAAATAAAAATTTAAAAAAAATTAAAAAAAAAAATAAATAAAGATTTGATCTATTTATTCACAAGAGACCGAGAGAGATTGGCAGAGACACAGGCAGAGGGAGAAGCAGGCTTCCTGCGGGGAGCCTGATGGCAGGACTCAATCCCAGGAATCCAGGATCACTACCAGAGCCAAAGGCAGATGCTCAGTCACTGAGCCACTGAGGTGCCCCAATTGTGAGGATTTAAAGAGATGGTGCACATAGATCTTTAGGAGCCTAGGGCCTGACAGAGGAAGTGTTGGTTTTTATTTAAGAATATATTATTTAGGGCAGCCCGGGTGGCTCAGTGGTTTAGCGCCGCCTTCAGTCCAGGGCCTGATCCTGGAGACCCGGGATCGAGTCCACATCCAGCTCCCTGCATGGAGCCAGTTTCTCCCTCTGCTTGTGTCTCTGCCTGCCTCTCTCTCTCTCTCTCTCTCTCTCTCTCTCGTCTCTCATGAATAAATAAATAAATAAAAATAAAAAAATTATTAAAAAAAAGAATATATTATTTAGGGGTGCCTGGGTGGCTCAGTCAGTTAAGCATCTGCCTTTGGTTCGGGTTATGATCTCAGGGTCCTGGGATCAAGTCCCACATCGGGCTCCCTGCTCAGGGGGGAGCCTGCTTCTCTCTCTCCCTCTGCCTGCTGCTCCCCCTGCTTGTGCTCTCTCTCTCTCTCTCTCTCTCTCTCTCTGTCAAATAAAAAAAATCTGTAAAAAAGAATATATAGTACTCTAGAATTCTCAGCATAAATACCTGGAGGGAGAAGAGAGAATAGAATCTTCTGTCCAGAGGGAGCCTTATTTATATATGGGCTCTTTTGTTGGGAAGAGAATTATCCCTGGGCCCCCATTACTTCCCTTAGTTTTGACACATTTTCCTCTTTCTCCCCAGCTGTGTGGTGGTGATTTTGAACCCCAAGGAGAACAAGCAGCAGCACATTTTTAACACTGCCAGGTATGCTGGGGCCTGGGCATTGGGTAGCGGTAGGACTGGGGTCCTGGCGCATGCCCCCTTCCCCATGTTGCTTGGAAGCTTGAGGTGGGTGACTAACTCATTCACTGACACATGGGTTCAGCGACATTCTGCTGCCTTGTGCTAGGTAGTGATCCAGTGCTCATGATAGCGAACAGAAAAAATGAGAATCTCTGCTCTTGTAGGGCTGACAGCTCATCGTTGGAGACAGACTAAACCAGTTGGCAAACTACTAGCTAACTCTGACCATTGCTGTGGAGGAAATGATGAGGATTAGGGCAGGTGTGCGGGCACTGACCAGTGGGGAGAAGGGAGCCATGTCAGAGGGCCCAGGGAGGGCCTCTTGGAGGCTGAGACCTGAGAGAAGTAAGGAGGTGACCCTTGTGCAAGTGTGGGGAGAGTGTTCCAGGTAGAGGGAGCAGCAAGGGCAAAGGCCCTACAGTGGTTACAAATCTTGAGTTTTTTGAGGAGCAGCCCAGGGATTCCTGTGCCTGGAATGGAGGAGTGAGTGAAGGCGAGGTGAAGCAGAAACAGAAACCACTGCTGGGTATTGGCAATTTTTGACTTTTTTTTTTTTTGATCTTTATTTATTTTAATCTACGATAGTCACACACACAGAGGGAGAGAGGCAGAGATACAGGCAGAGGGAGAGGCAGGCTCCATGTACCGGGAGCCCGACGTGGGATTCGATCCTGGATCTCCAGGATCCCACCCTGGGCCAAAGGCAGGCACCAAACCGCTGCGCCACCCAGGGATCCCAATTTTTTGACTTTTTATATTGCAATAGTTTTATTTTTTTTTATTTATTTTTTTTAAATTTTTATTTATTTATGATAGAGAGAGGCAGAGACACAGAGGGAGAAGCAGGCTCCATGCACCGGGAGCCCGACATGGGATTCGATCCCGGGTCTCCAGGATCACGCCCTGGGCCAAAGGCAGGCGCCAAACTGCTGTGCCACCCAGGGATCCCTGCAATAGTTTTAGACTTTTAACGAACCGTACAAAGAATGCCTGTATAACCATCTATATAGGTAATTTTTTTTCCGAACCATTTGAGAGTAAGCTGCCGACAGGATGTCCCTGTACCTCTGAATGTTTCAGTGTATATTTCCAGGGAGGGAGGGGTTACCATTCAAAACCCCAATACACTCAGCAAAAGCGGGAAATTAAAATTGGTACGTCACTACCATCTAGGTCTCTTTCAAGTTTTGCCGTGTATCTCAAGAACATTGTTTTTTTTTTTTTTTTTTTTTTTTTTAAGATTTCATTTATTCATGACAGACACAGAGAGAGAAAGGGGCAGAGACACAGAGGGAGAAGCAGGCTCCACGGGAACTCTATCCCGGGTCTCCAGGATCACGCCCCAGGCTGAAGGCCCCGCTAAACCACTGGGCCACTGGGGCTGCCCCCAGGAACATTTTTTATGGCAAAAGGATTCTGTCCAGAATCACGTGTTGCACTTAGTGGTCTCTTTAGTCTTCTTCAGACTGAAGCAGTTTTTTCATCTGTCCTTGACTTTCCTGACCATGACACCTGAGGAGTATGGGCCAGGTATTTTGTAGAATGCCCCAGCCTTCGGTGTGTCTGATGTTTCCTCATAAACTGAGGTTCTGCAGCAGAAGGAGTGCTACTTTCTCCTCAGTGCATTCTAGCGGGAGTGGCATGGTACTGGTATCTCCTGTGACCAGTGGTGTTCAGTTGGGCCCCTGACAAAGGTGGCATCTGCTTGCCCATCATGGGGCTTTCCCACCGTGAAACCTCTCTTTTTTTCCAGTGATTAGTGAGCATCTTGTGGGGAGCTTCTGTGAAACTGCAGATACTACCCTGTTCCTCCCCAGACTTTTGTTTACTGGTCATAGCACGGCTTTGACATATTTCAAGTCTCTGCAGAGAATTCTGATGTGCGAACAGTGCACTACCCTGTCAGGTTAGATAACTAGGGCAGGACTTCCCTGTGTTGAGGTCTCTTCACCTCAAAACTGGCTCAGAGTCCTGTCTTCGAGAACGCGCCTGAGGAATCAGTGCAGCGATGCCCATATAGCATTTTGCAGAGGGCCGGGTATAGGGTCAGGGCATGTGACAGGTTAGGAGTGGCTGCACACAACAGAAACCCACAACAATCATGGCTTCAGACAGAAGGGCATACTCTTCTTGCACAATGGTGGGCACCCAGATGGCTGGTGTCTCTGTAAGCATCAGGAACCCCAGTGTGCCTGTCTTTCTGTTCCACCATGCCTGTTGTGAGGCTTCTTGAGGTTGTCTCATGGTCCAAGATGGAGTTCTGGCTGTCACGTCCAGAAGGAGAACAACTGGGGATCAGATCGAAGAATCCCCTTTGAGAAGCTTTTCAGGAAATCCCACCCAGCATTTCAGCTTACCTCTCACTGGACAGAATAAATCAGGTAGCTGTGTAGCTGTAAGAGAGGTGAGGAATGTACTACTGCTGGGAACACTGCCATCCTAATTAAAATTTGGGTTCTAATCCAAATGGACAGGAGGAGCAAGTGGCTATCCCATAGACAGCTTGCCTTGTCTGCCGCTGGAGGAGTGATGGGAAGCCACCAGAGAGTTGAGGGGATGCTGATAAATGTTCTATGAGGTTGTCAAAGCTCAGAGCATTTACTTAATTATCTGCACACTAATTAACTCATGTGAGGGAGACAATCATTGGACAATTAACATAGATAAAAGGGAGAGGGAGAGGAAAACAACAGTGTAGTCTGGGAACCATGAAACTTGCTGCCAAGAAAACGTGCAAACTAGTCTAGTCATTCAGCCCTTGTGCAGGCTGGAGAGAAACATGTTGATTGTTCATGGGTTTTCCAGAATACCTTGTGTATTTAGCAATGGAGCACATGCTGCAGGCTGTCTCCTGTGCTGTCTGCCAGGCTCCTCCCCTCAGCGCCACCCCCATCGTTAGGCCAGATCCGTACCATTTCCTGCTCCTGAATTTCTCAGGGATACAGGATGGGTGGGGTCTCAGGGAGCCCACCCCCTGCTGAGGGAGAGAAAAGGAAGGTCCCTGTACAGTGACCACCCTATCTGGGTTTGGGGCCTTTGCCCATTTCCCTTTGCCACTGCCCCCCTACTGGCAGCAGGTAAAGCAAGGAACGCACTGTGTGCTGTGCTGAGCACACAGGCAGCATTGGCTCTATGGGAGCTGCTGGCACTCCCCTCTCCTGGCCTCTTTCAAGGCTTGGGAGCAAAAGGTGGGCAGAGTTGTGGGAGCACAGCCAGATGGGAGTCTGGCTGCCTGTCCTCCTTGAAACCAGTGACCAGCCCCTTTCCTTACCCCCAGGAAGTCTCTGAGTGCTCTGGCCTTCTCCCCTGATGGGAAGTACATAGTGACAGGGGAGGTGAGTTGTGATGGTGATTGGGTGGGAAGGGATCTTGGGACTGCTTATACCCTAGAATATATACCCCTGCCTTATACCCTAGAATAGCTTCTTCCCAGGCCAGAAAGCCCCTTGGCAGATGGGGGTGGTGGCTTTTGGGTATGTCCTGGGGCAATGCCAATTTCAGCCCTAATAGCCCTTCTAGCCCTGCCTGGTACACAACTTATCAGCAGTAATGGCCCCACCTTCCCCAGAACGGGCACAGGCCTGCTGTGCGCATCTGGGACGTGGATGAGAAGAGTCAGGTGGCAGAGATGCTGGGCCACAAGTACGGCGTGGCCTGTGTGGCCTTCTCCCCCAATATGAAGCACATTGTATCCATGGGCTACCAGCACGACATGGTACTCAACGTCTGGGACTGGAAGGTGAGATGGCCGGTGGGAGTATGGGCAGGTAGCCAGCTGCCAGAGCACCCTGAGGCTCAGGCATTCAGCAAACGAAGTGAGATAATTTGGTAAAGTGTTCATTTATCCAGAAAATATTTATTGAACACCTACTGGATGCTGGTCCCTGTTCTAGACATTGTGAGGCATATGACGAGCTCTCAACTAGTGGAATTACATAATTATTCTCATGTCAACCAGCTGTGACCTTGAGCAAATGATTTGACTTCTGTGTGAGTCATCCTCATGTGTAAAATGGATATGCTAGCATCTACCTTTTCGAGTTCTGAGAATTCAAGAAGTTGATACAAACTGGAAGACTGGATGTTGGAATAGCTAGGGGAGGACTTGGAGGTGCAGAAATGGGTACCAAGTCCTGGCTCTCCTCATAATCTGGTGTGTGATCTTGAGCACATGACTCCACCTCTCTGAGCCTGGAAGGGTGGGGAGAAGCACCTTCCTAGCATCTAGGACTATTGAGAGGATTACATCCTGTGAAGGCTCAGCCATGTGTGAGCTATAGAAGTTGGACTCTTGGGGAGAGCTCTGGAACTTACACGTGGAAACCTTTCCAAGCCTCAGTGTCCTCTGTATTGGGAATGATATGAGTGCCACACATAGGTTTTCCCATAAAGCAGCTCACTGGAGGACTCAAAGAAAAATGACTTGGAGCAGCGGAGGGTGGGGAGATGCAGGGCTGAGGGCAAAGGCACAAATGATCCAATGGGTAGGTGCTAGAGTGAACTCTGCATTGATTCTTCCAGAAAGACATCGTGGTGGCTTCCAACAAAGTATCATGCAGGGTCATTGCTCTCTCCTTCTCAGAGGACAGCAGCTATTTTGTCACCGTAGGGAACCGACATGTGAGGTTCTGGTTCTTGGAAGTCTCCACAGAAGCAAAGGTAGGTTTCTGCCCCTGCCCCCTTAGCCAAGCCTGGGGAGTAACCACTGAGGGCAGTATGGACTCCTGTTTCTACCTGAGATTTAGAGGTTGTGGTCTCAGAAGCTTTCTGGCCTCTGGTTCAGCTTCTGCTTCTGGGCTTCTCTCCAGGTGCTGTGAGGCCCTGCTGGGAAATATCTTCCCCACCCACTGACCCTGGGACCAGACCTCTTTCCTAGACTGCTGCCTTCCAGCCACTCTGCCTGGAAGTGTGTGCTGTTTTTTCTATCCTTCTCTTCCATTTGGCGGAATGTCTCAGAGTCCTTCTATTTAGCTATGTGTCATATTCTCTGGTCGGGAGAGTTCCATGGTGACCTTGCTGGGGTCTAGGCCATGTGGACAGTGTCTTACTGTGCCCTGCTATGCCTCCAGGTGATGGGCACAGTTCCCCTCGTAGGGCGTTCAGGCATCCTGGGTGAGCTGCACAACAACATCTTCTGTGGCGTGGCTTGTGGCCGGGGCCAATTGGCAGGCAACACCTTCTGTGTGTCCTACTCGGGCCTCCTTTGCCAGTTCAATGAGAAGAGAGTGCTGGAGAAGTGGATCGACTTGAAGGTACACCACCCTCCCTCCTTGCCATCAGTGGGGAAAACACTCTTCCCAGGACATGTCTCAAGGGACACTCAATAATATCCCTACCTGGTAGTTGGTCCCGCTAGCTCTGGGTTTGACTGCTCAGAAGTTATGTTTGTGAGACTCTGGGTGAGTGAGTTTCCCTCCCTGGGACTCAGGTTCCTCATCTGTAAAATGGAAAATGTAAGGCACTTAGCACAGGTTCCTCATCTGTAATCTGTAAAATGTAAGGCGCTTAGCACAGTACCTGGTACCCTATAATGGGATCAAGGCTATAATTGCTCTCCCATGACTGTTAGATCCAGTTCCCATTTCTCTTCACTGAGTTCTCTTAGCTGGTGGGATGACCTGATTGATTAATTGATTGATTGATTGGATGACCGCATTTACAAAACAAACTAAGGGGGGATCCCTGGGTGGCTCAGCGGTTTGGTGCCTGCCTTCAGGCCCCGGCATGATCCTGGAGTCCTGGGATGTCCCACATGGGGTTCCTTGCATGGAGCCTGCTTCTCCCTCTGCCTGTGTCTCTGCCCCGCCCCCCCATGAATGAATAAGTAGATACATAAAAATATTAAAAAAAAAAAAACAACTAAGGTATCATTGACTTAATGTTTCGGTCAAAAAAGACTATTAAAATATGTAACATTTTCTTTTTTTAAACATTTTAAATTAAAGGCTGATATATCTATAAATTGCAGAACCACATTTCTTCAGGATCTGAGGGTTTGAATCCACACTTTTTTTGTGTTCCCTCCTTTTCCTACTCCTGCTTTTGTGCCTCTCTTCCAGAACTCACCTTTAGGGCTAATGGCACAGTGTCAGGCCTGTGGAAGAATTTGAAATTTCGTCTGTTTTTCTTAGTTGGTTAAACATCATTTTTTTTCTCATTTGAATCTTCTTTTTAGAACTTTAGCAGCTCAAGCAAGTCCAAAGCTTCCAACAGATGCACGGTTAGCCCCTGAGCAGTTGTCTTAAATGACTTATAAATTAAATCCCTCTAGATTTCGAAAAGCTCCTCTAATCTGTGTCCAGAGGTCTGGCACTTCCTGCCCCTTCCATCTGTGTATCCTGGCAGGATAGACAGTCTGATAGTCTTTTCTGTATATAGTAACATTTTTCTGTGTTGCTTTGAAGTATCTCTATGAAGTTGTTTTTAAACAGTAGGGGAAAAACATAAGCCTCAAATTCAACCCTGGTACTGCATGTTACCTATCTGAAGTCACAAATTGCTGAACAGATTATTTTCCACAGACGCTGAGTTCCTCTGTAGACAGTGATAACAGTTCTGTCACAGTTTGTGCCTCTGTCTGCCTGCTGGCACGTTTTCTCCAATAGTGACTGCCATCTCCTAACTTCAGAAGTTTAAAATTTGCCAAAATGGGCTCCTCAAACCCAAGGAACTCTAAGGCTTCTCAGAGGCTGAATTCTGCTCTGTTAGTCCCTATGTCTCTGAACTGGGCCACATGCAGCACCAAGTCCACTTGGGTCCCCTTTGCCCCCACAGGTCTCCTTATCTTCATGCCTCTGTGTCAGTCAGGAGCTCATCTTCTGCGGCTGCACAGATGGGATCGTCCGCATGTTCCAGGCCCACAGCCTGCAATACCTTGCGAACCTGCCGAAACCACACTACCTTGGGGTGGACGTGGCCCAGGCTCTGGAGCCCAGGTACTGCCTAGCACATGGTAGGAGAGGGGCCCAACGCAGAGTCTGTCTCCCGACATCCATTCGTGCATCAAGCTTCATGTACCTATCTGGCTGGCCCTGCGCTGGATAGAGCTATTACAAGGCAGCAAAATCTCTGCCACCATGAAGTCTGCAGTCTAGTGAGGGAGCTTGATGCCAAACAAGTTTACAAACAAGGTCATTTGAGATCGTCATAAATGCTTGGGTGAAATAAACCAGGAACTCAGGAAGGAAAGTGCCTGGGGGTCGGGCTACGTTGATTGGGAGCAGAGGAAGTCTCTGGTGAGGAGGAGCCAGCTATGTGGAGAGGTAGGTCCTAATAGCAAGTATAAAGACCTGAAGGGGAAAGTGCCCTGGGCTTGGCGTGTTGCAGGTACAACTAGAGGCTGCATGGCCAGAGCCCAGTGTGCCAGGGAGAATGTTAGGAGACTGGTCTGAACATTGATGGAAGCCTGCAGGGGAGCTTATAGTCTTTTCTGGGGTCATTGGGCAGCCACTGGAGATTGCAGGCGTTGGCATTAGTTATATGGTTGGCCTTAAGCATTAAATCCGTCTGGCTGCCATGTTGAAAGCAGGTTGAAGGGCTGAGCTATGGTGTATCTTCCCCTTTGTTGTAAGGCTATTGGGGGAAAGGGCTACCTAACTGGGTGCTGGGTGCCTGGGGCTGCCTGTTTGTAAATTGCTGGACACTACCTCCTGGGTACCTTTTCTGAGTGACACACAGTGTTGTGTTATAGTGACCAGGCCGCCCAGCCCCCCTGCCACCTTCGCCGTGTGTGCTTTAATTTCCTCATCTGTGAAATATAGTACCTACCTCTCGTGGATACTAAGGATTCAGGGCAGCTAAAGCTCTCTGATGGTCGCATAGTAAGTGCTCAGTAAACTATAGCCTTTGTAGGGAGGCCCTAGGCCAGGGGACAGCACCCCAGCCCTGGCATAGGGACTTTTGGTCATGTGTTGGTGAGGCCAGTGTGAGAGAACTAAGGTACATGCCCATTATCCTTCCAGCTCAGAAAAAGGATGGAGCTTGGGTTGGGTGAGATGAGGGAAGGTGAAAATTCAGATATTCTCAGGGGCCAGGCAGGAACTTCCAGTTAACAACCACTGTACTAGAAGCAAAAGCAAAAGAAGAAGGAGACAAGAAGTAGAGTTGGAGTGGGAGATGAACCACCTCAATTATCATAAGGGATGGCATTGCCAGGCAAGAGGCAGCTTGAGTGTCACCAGAGGCAGCTGTCATTGATACACTGCCATTGATGGCGACTGATAACCCATGTGGCCTTGTTAGCTTCCTCTTCCGCAGGAAGGCAGAAGCAGTCTACCCAGATACAGTGGCGCTGACCTTCGACCCCATCCATCAGTGGCTGTCCTGCGTATATAAGGACCACAGCATCTACATCTGGGACGTCAAAGACATCAACAAAGTAGGCAAGATGTGGTCGGAGCTCTTCCACAGCTCCTACGTCTGGAATGTGGAGGTGAGCCCCTCTTCCTCTCTGCCCCTGCTCAGCTCCCATCCGGGGCTCAGCTGGGGAAAGCTTCTGCAGTTTGGGGAACCCATTCAGCCATTCCTTCACAAGATACTCATGGGCCCCAACTTGGTGCCAGGTGCTGTTCTAGGTGCTGGGGACATTAGTTGAGAAGGAAACTGACAAATGTCCTGCCGTGGTGGAGCTCACATTTGGGTGGGAGAGTAATCTCATACACATCATCAATGACAGCCAAGCAGCACTACCTCTCCAAAGAAAAATAAAACCAGGGGAAGAGAGACCAGGGGTGCTCTCTGAGGACGTGACCTTCAAGCAGAGACCTGCAGGGAATGAGGGGCAGAGGCATGCAGCCACTTGGGAGGACTGTGGCAGGAGCGTGTGTACCTCATAGAGCTTGCTGTGGAGAGCTATTTGTGTAGGTTAGTGCTCTTTCAAGTGTTGAAATTTTCGGAGAATGAGTCTTTGGGGGTGTTTTCATTCTCTAAAGCTGTTCTAAGTTTTCCTTGCAGATAAGACAACTGGTGGGGAAATAATTGTATTCTACCTCTTTTCCCTTCTGAAAATTTCATACTGTGAGGAACATTTGTCCTAGAGAAATTATGTTTTCAGTGGCCCAGTTCAGAATTAGGAGAAATAACTCGATCCTTTTCAACAACCATTATTCAGCCCTTTGACTTTTCGAATCCATCTGCCTTTCATAGATCTGACATTTCTGTTGATAGCACTTTACTCAACAAGAATGTTTTTTAAATAACTTTAAAATTTTATATATAAATATATTCTCCTTGAAAAAAGGGTGAAATGTTTCAAAACTAAAGTCTGTTTTGATCTGCCCACCCCCAATCCTGTTCACTTTCACCCTCACCTTTGTTATTAGTTTATTATGTGTTCTTTCAGTTCTTTTCCTTTGCATTTGCCTATTATTTATGTGTATCTGTCTCCTCAACAAAAATATCTGTGGGTGCATCTTTTTATCAGTTCTGGAAAGAACAGCCAGTACAGATTTAAAAATTGCCTCTACCCCATTCTTTCTCTTCTTCTGCAACTCCTAATGTCCTAACCCTCTTTGGCCTTCAATATTTTTTGAATAACAGATCTAGAAAATCATACAAAGGAAATGTACAGTTTATTGATAATTGTTAGGAGCTATTGATGCTCAATGCCTAGATCCATCTATTCCTTGGGGGTTGCAAATGGTGATATTCTAATTCTATCATTTCTTTTTATTAGTTGGACTACTTATATGAAGAAACACTTCCCCTCATCTACCATTTGGTCACCCAGTGGTACACTTCATATAGGAAAGGCAGGATAAATGCTTGATTCTTTCCCTTTATTTACCAGTTTTCAAGATAATGAATTGGTTCCCTGTCCTCTAAAGGTAACTAGTTGTTTTTATTTAATATCATTATACACTCATATGTAAATATATTGGATATATTTTAATCCATTGCAATTGTTAACATTATGGAGGCTCAAATTGTCTCATCTTTGACCATTGGGAGCCTCTTCAAGTTGGCTTCTGAGTCCTCTGGACATGACCCTTGTAGTCTTTCTTTGGTAGCTACCTTTTGTTTTTTGAGATGACAAGATATTCCAGCTTCATCTTGTACATTTCCTATCCCAGACTGGAATCAATCATTTCTTAAAGAAGCCCTAAGTTTTGGTTTCAAGTTGAATTGGTATTTCAAATTCATAGTCTGAGTGTTGGGGATGCTCATAGGTATTAAACTGATCCTTCCAGAATACTAAAGACACGGGGGATGATGGAATTAGAATATCCCCGTTAATCATTTATTTATTCTCACATTATGTGTACAACAGTCTAAGAATGACAATTACTCAATTTTAAAAAGAGTTAAAACAATTTTTTTTTTGTATATGTTCTCCATTCTCTCCCAATTTTAAAAAAATAGTTATTCAACATCTATGTGACCTGCTCATGTAGCCATTATATACCATGTTCTCTTCCTTCTGACCCCATTTATTTAGGGGACTGTAAGTGTACATATGTATTGTGTTGAAATACAGATAGCATAAAATTTGCCATTTAATTTATTTGTTTTGAGAGAGCGTATGCATGCATGCGTGCACGTGCAGGTTCAGGGGAAGGAGCAGAGGGAGAGTGAGAGAGAAAATCTTAAGCAGACTGCAGGATCAGTTTAGAGCCCAATGTAGGGCTCAATCTCACGACACTGAGATCACAACCTAAACCGAAATTAAGAGTCAGACACTTAACTGACTGACCCATCCAGACCCCCCTAAATCATTTTAAAATGTACAATTCAGTGGCATTTAGTACACTCATAGTGTTGTACAACCATCCCTATTATCTAGTTCTAGAACATTTTCATCACTCTAAAAGGAAACTCTGTACCCATTAACCAATCACTCCCTATTCCCGTTCCCCCAGCCCTAACCTGCTTTCTATTGGTATGGATTTGCCTGTTCTAAATATTTCATACAAATGGAATGATAGAATATGTGGACTTTGTGTCTGGCTTCTTTCCCTTAGTATGTTTTCAAAGTTTTGGGTCTTGGTTTTTAAGACTTTTAATTATTTGAGAGAGAGAGAGCACAAACAAGGAGAGGAGCAGAGGGAGAAGCAGACTCCCCACTGAGCAGGCAGCCCGATGTGGGGCTCAATCTTAGGACTCTAAGGCCATGGCCCGAGCTGAAGGCAGACACTTAACCTACTGAGCCACCCAGACACCTCTCTTTTTAAGTTTTATCTGTGTTGTAATGTTTCAGTACTTTATTCCTTTATAAGGTTGAATAATATTCCATTGTGCAGATATGCCACATTTTATTCATCTGTTCATCAGTTGGTGGACATTTGTGTTGTTTGTACCTTTTGGCTATTATGAATAGTACTGCTATGAATGTTCATGTATAAGCTTTGAATATCTGGTTTCAGTTCTTTTGGGTATATACCCATGAGCAGAATTGCTGGGCCATATGGTAAATCCTGTTAGCTTTTTGAGGAACAATCAGGGTATATACCCATGAGCAGAATTGCTGGGTCATATGGTAAATCTTGTTAGCTTTTTGAGGAACCATCAGACTTTTCCATAGCAGCTGCACCATTTTACATTCCTTTTTTTTTTAATTTATTTAAATAATCTCTGTACCCCAATGGGGTTCAAACTCACGGCCCTGAGATTAAGAGTCATACACTTCCTTTTTTCTTTTTAAAGATTTCATTTATTCATGAGAGACAGAGAGAGGAGCAGAGACAGAGGCAGAGGAAGACACAGGCTTCCTGCAAAGAGCCTGATGTGGGACTCAATCCTGGATCCCAGGATCACGCCCTGAGCCAAAAGCAGATGCCTAATTGCTGACTCACCCAGGCATCCCAAGAGTGATACACTTCCAACTGAGCCAGCCAGGCACCCCTCACCATTTTACATTACCACCAGTGATGTATGAGAATTCCAATTTCTCTACATCCTTACCAGCACGAGTTTTTTTGATTTTTGCTTTAAATTATAGCTGTCTTAGTGTTTGACTTGCATTTCCCTAATGGTTAGTGATGTTGAACTTCTTTTCATATACTAGTTGGTAATTGTATATCTTTGAAGAAATGTGTATTCAAAATTTTTGCCCATTTTTTACTTTGGGTTGTTTGTCTTCTTCCTGTTGAATTGTAAGCATTCTTTATATATTCTGGTTACTAGACCCTATTAGATATATGCTTTGCAAATATTTTCTCTCATTTTTTGTTATTTTTTCACTTTTTTTGATGGTATCCTTTGTACAGAGGTTTTTAATTTTTTTTTTAAATCCCAGGGATCCCATAGGTTTTTAATTTTGATGAAGTCTAATTTATCTATTTTTTTCTTTTGTTGCTTGTATCTTTGGTGTCATAGCTATAAAGAACCGTTGCTAAATCCACAATCATGAAGATTTGCTTTTCTTTTAAGAGTTTTATTGTTTTAGGGGCTCCTGGGTGGCTCAGTCAGTTAAAAGTGTCCGACTCTCTATCTCAGCTCAGGTCTTGATCTCAGCGTTAGGAGTTCAGGTCCCATGTTGGGCTCCATGCTGGAGCACTTTAAAAAAAAAAAGTTTGGGGGATCCCTGGGTGGCTCAGCGGTTTAGTGCCTGCCTTTGGTCCAGGGCGTGATCCTGGAGTCCCGGGATCAAGTCCCACATCAGGCTCCCTGCATGGAGCCTGCTTCTCCCTCTGCCTGTCTCTCTCTCTCTCTCTCTCTCTCTCTCTCTTCCTGTCTCTCATGAATAAATAAATCTTCAAAAAAATAAATAAAAAGTTTCATTGTTTTAGCTCTTCCATTTATGTCTTTGATCTCTTTTGAGTTAATTTTTTTTTAAGATTTTATTTATTTATTCATGAGAGACACACAGAGAGGCGAAGACACAGGCAGAGGGAGAAGCAGGCTCCATGCAGGGAGCCTGATGTGGGACTGGATCCCAGGTCTCTTAAGATCATGCCCTGGGCTAAAGACAGCGCTAAACCGCTGAGCCACTGGGGCTGCTGCTTGAGTTAATTTTTGTATATACTTGATGCAGAGGTCCAACTTCATTATTTTGCATTTGTTTTGTTTTTTAAAATGTTATTTATTCAGGAGAGACACACAGACAGAGAGGCAGAGACATAGGCAGAGGGAGAAGCAGGCTCTCTGCAGGGAGTCTGATGCAGGACTCCATCCCCAGATAGGAATCACACCCTGAGCCAAAGGCAGCTCAACCACTGAACCACCCAGGTGTCCCTAACAACTTTGGGATTTGTTTGTTTGATCAATATTCATTTGAGTATTTGGGATCTCTTACAATTCCATATGAATTTTATTTTTATTTTATTTTTTTAGTTTTTTTTTTCCATATGAATTTTAGGATCATGTTTTCCATTTCTGGGGAAAAGAAAAAAGACTTTATCTCCATTGTAATCTTTATTTTCTTCTTCCTTTTAGCTTTTGGTTTAGTTTGCTCTTGTTTTTCTGGTTTCTTAAGGTGAGACATTTTTGATTTAA